TTGTGATTTGTACCAGGTTTTCTCCCTTTCATCTGCTCTGGTACAAGACATGAAAAGGAAACTTATAAGAGAACTACAAATGCCAGTGTTCATACTTAATATTAAGTAAACTGGAAAATAAACCTATACTTTTATCCTACCTAATTGGCAAAAATGAAAAAGAATATCCAGATGGGCACAGGAAATGAGAATTTTCACATTGTTTGTGAAATATAAGCTGATTCAGCTATTTTGAAGGACAGCTGGACCAATCTATTGTACTTTCTCTTGGTTAGTGTTTGCACAGCTATGCTTTCTTTTTGTTTTCTTTTTATTTTTTTTGAGATGAAGATCAGACCCAGGGCCTCATGCATGCTAGGCAAGTGTTCTACCATGGAACCACATTCCCAGCCCTTGCATGGCTTGTATAATTTCCCATCCTTTTCTCTCAACCTCATTTGTTTATGGCATATTTTCTATGTGATTGAGTTGTCCATTCTTAATCCAGTTGGACAGTCTTCTCTTTTAATTATGTATTTGATTCACTCACAGTCAATGTATTATTGACATCTTGCGTTTAAACCTATCTCAATTCTTTTCTGTTAGTCTATGTCCTTTTTTGTCCCCTTTGGAATTCCTTGACCTGATTAACCATATAGCTTTATTTCATTTCCCCTCTTCTTTTACTATTCTTCTAGAGATTATCTTACAGATTACAACATGCATCCTTGGTTTATTGAAGTATTATACATATAATCACTTTTATTAGTTTTGCATAATGCAAAGATGGTAGAGCAGCCCCATCTGCTTTTTATGACATTGTTAAGGATTTTAATGCTATTTTTAAAACTCTGTTTTAGTCAACTTTTTGCCACAAAAAGACCTGACAAGAACAATTTTAGGAGGAAAAGTTTATTTGGGGGTTCATGGTTTCTGAGATTAATCATGGGATTAACAGCTAATAGGATTAAGGCTCTCATAACCCAATCATTGTACTTCTAAACCTTCTTGCATTGTCTCACAAATGAGCCAACTCATAGCCAACTCCATACAACATTATTACTATTACTTTGTAGTCAATATCCACTTAGATATGCTGACATTCTTTATTCTTTCCATTGTTCTGCATTCTGTCCTGCATCTTGATGCTCCTTTCTAGGGTCACTTTCCTTTCTCCTTGAACACCTCCCATTTGTACCTGAATTTTCATTAGTGTATTTCTGATGATCACAGATGCTCTCAGTTTTTGTATGAAAAGTAATCTGCCTTAAATTTAAAAAGATATTTTTGAAGGATATAGAATTCTTTGTTGGGAGTTATTTTCTTTTAGTACTTTGAAAATATTCCTTTGTCTTCTTGCTTTTTTTTCCCTGTTGAGAAATTAGCTCATGGTATTATTATTGTTCTTATAAAAAATACAGTCCTCCCTGGTGCAGGACATTGGTTCCAGGACCCCTACAGATACCAAACCTGCTCAAGCCCTTATATAAAATGGCATAGCATTTGCATATAATCTATGCACACCCTTCCAAATACTTCAATCTTCTCTATATTGCTTATAATACCCAATGCAATGTAAACCTTACATAAATATTTGTTATATTGCATTTTACAGTATACTGTATTTAATAATGACAAGATAAAGGGCTGTACTTGTTTAGAACAGATGCAGTTTTGGGATTTGAAGCTGTTTGAATCTGGGGATGTGGAATCTTGGTTAGGGAGGCTAACTGTATGTCTCTCTTATTCTGGCTAATTTTATGATTTTCTCTTTTCAGCACTTTGACCATAGTGTACTTAGGTATAGGTGTCTTTTTTTTCTTTCTTTCTTTCTTTTTTTTTTTGCATTTGTTCTTGAAGTTTGTAGCACTTCTTAGTGCTATTGTGATTTTTGGAAAAGCTTTCACTATTGTGTCTTCAAATATCTCTTCTGCTTTATTTTCCCTGCCCTTCTTCTTAGACCATTTAACTATCCCCCATCTATTTTCTTTCCATGTATTTTTAATGTTCTTCTCTATATCTTATAATCACTTTGTTTCTGCAAACTTCAGCTTATTTTCTTTTGATTTTCTACTTCACTAATTCTCTCTGAAATCGTATATATCTCTCCTTATACACTGAATTCTCAAATGTATAATGTTTATTTTCTAGTTCTAGACTTTCCATTTGATTTATTTTCTGATTCTCAGTTCTTTTCTGAAATTCTCTACCTTTTCATTTAATGTATTAACCATAATAATAGTTTACTGCCTTCAATACTTTAATATTTGCATCTCATGAGTTTGTTTCTATTTTTCTCCCCTCGACGTCTAGACCTATATTAACCTTAAATGTGCCTTTCTTTTTCCTTCTACCTCTTTCTCCTTTTGAACTGTACTTATGAAAAATTTTAAAGATAATTTGAAGCATTATATTTTGCCTTCTGAGGAAGATTTTTTTTTTCTCTTACAGGTAGCTCATCTGTATAGATCTACTTAATCTACTCAGAAACTGATGTGATTGGAGTCTGGACCTCAATCCTTGTAAGGGCCAGTCTGATTCTAGCTCACCCTTATTCTCGAGTACAGACTTTCAGAATCTCACTGGAAGTATAGAATATGGCATGTACCTGAGAACCTTCTCCTGGTAAGATAGAAAAGGATGGGCAGTTGAGAGTAGGGAAGGGATGTGAAGGTCAACAAGAGGTCAAGCAGGAGAAAAGTCATTTTAACATGCCTTTTTCTCAGAAAGGACGTTAAGTTTCCAATTCCTGGAGTGACTATGTAATTCAACCTGTGGGACAACTGAAATATCAGGAAACATTCAGGAAAGAATCAATAAATGGGGTGGTATGAAACCAAAAGCTTCTTCACAGCAAAGGAAACAATCAAGAACACGAAGAGAGAGCCTATAGAATAGGAGAAAGTCTCAGCCATCTGCACCTCATATTGATCTCCAGGATGTTCACAGAACTCAAAAAGCTTAACATTAAAAAAAAATAACCCAATCAATAAATAGGTAAAGGAACTGAACAGGCATTTCACAGAAGAAGAAATACAAATATGTGAAAAATATTTAATATCTCTAGCAATTAGAGATATGCAAATTAAAACTACCCTGAGATTCCATCTCACTCCAGTCAGAATGGCAATTATCAAGAATACAAGTAACAATGTTGGTGAGTATGTGGGGAAAAAGGTTCATTTATACATTGGTGGTGGCACTGAAAATTGGTTCAACCATTCTGGTAAGCGGTATGGAGATTCCTTAGAAAACTTGGAATGGAACCACCATTTGACCGTGTTATCCCACTCCTTGGGGAATCAGCATACTACAGGGACACAGCCACATCAATGTTTATAGCAGCTCAATTCACAATAATTAAGCTATGGAACCAACCTAGGTGCCCTTCAACAGATGAATGGATAAAGAAAACATGGCATATTTATACAATGGAATATTACTTAGCTATAAAAAGGAATGCTTTTTATGACTTTTGCTGGTAAATAAATGGAACTGGAGATTATTATTCTAAGTGAAATAAGCCAATCCCCCAAAACCAAAGGCAAAATGTTCTCTCTGATAGGTGTATGCTAACGTACAATAAGAGTGAGGGAAGAATAGAAGTTCATTGAAGTGGACAAAGAGGAATAAAGGGAAGAGAAGGGACTGGGGATAGGAAGACAGTGGAATGAATTGGACATAACTCTCTTATGTTCATATATGAATACACGGCCAGTGAAACTTCATATCAGGTACCACCACAAGAATGGGATCCTAACTAGAATAAGTTATACTCCCTGGGTGTATAATATATCACAATACACTCTGCTGTCTGTATATCTTAAAAAGAACAATAATAAAAGAATCATTCAGGAGGAGCTTATCAACTTATATGCCATTGAAAGAAGGAATCCTGTAAGACTGAAATGGTATCCTTGCCTCTCCCAGAGTTCAGCCAGGAGTTCTGAGCCTTTTTTTTTTAATCACTTTCTTTTTTAAAAATAAGATTCCTGCCAGGTGCAGTGATGCACACCTGTAATCCCAGTGGCTTGGGAGGCTAAGGCAGGAGGATCTCAAGTTTAAAGCCAGTCTCACCAAAGGCGAGGTGCTTAGCTACTCAGTGAGACCCTGTCTCTAAATTAAAAACAAAACAAAACAAAATAGGGCTGGGGATGTGGCTCAGTGGTCAAGCGCCCCTGAATTCAATCCCCAGTACCCCTGCCCCCAATTAAATAAATAAATAAATAAATAAATAAATAAATAAATAAAATTTCTGCCCACTTGCTTACCTGGGTGTTTGCCATGTTCATTTCCCCACACCTGTTGAACTTGAACCTGATCCTGACTCTTGCTAGTAACATGGGGAGGTCTTGAACTCACACAAGTGCTTGTTGCCCTGGTCCTTTGAGAAAATGGCGCTCTTTGCCTTGCCTTCTCATGTGTCATTTTCATTTTCAGAATTGGCAATTTGCCCTGAATTCTGTAACTACCCCACTTGGGTTCCCTCTTCTCCTAGGACTGGGTCCTGTAGTATCTCACCATCTTGGTAATTCTTTGAGGCCAAGACATTTCAAACATTTTAAAACATTCTGTCCAGCTTTCGATTGTCCTCAGCTGTCAGTTTTTCTTGGTTATCCTAAAAGTATGCATCATCCACCTCTGGAAGGGGGGCTCCACCCCCGCCCCTTCACATAAATATGTGTAGACAAAAGATTTAAAGACCTTGGAATTTTTTTAAGAACGTGACAGGTTTTCTTTGAATTTTTTTTAACTCTCTTACAATGTAGGTTTTATGAAGAGCACATGAATTACTTACATTTATTAAAATCAATGTATATAATTAGGACATTAAAATTAGCTTATGAACTACAACAATGATAGCAACAATCATTTGTAATTGTTTAAAACATTATTATGACAATAATAAAAGATTTATAAACCAGGACATCACCTGTAATCCCCTCATCTAAACTTACCTTTAAAAATTTTCAATCTATGCCTTTATTTCATATACAGATATAATAATGCACACATTAAGCAAGTGTTCATAGCATTGAATTTTAATGACATACTTTGGAAAAAATGGCCTCTGTAAACTTTTTCTAATACCATATTTTTAATTCTGGTCCAACTTCTCATCATCCTTTACCTAGAAATAAAAAGATTGGTAAGTTTATAGGTTTCTTGTTCTATTCAAAGGTATATAGCTTAAATGTCATAAAAATAGTTAAAAATATTACATCACTAGAAGACATACTAGAAAACATTTGTACTTCTGTTTTTCTTTCAAATCAGAAAAGACATGAAGGTAATTTTGCTTCAGAATATTACAGTTGACTCTGCCTATATTTAGATACTTCCCTTCAGCCTGAATAAATGAAATTCTACTCTTCTTTATTTGATATTCATTTATCAAACACCAGATGTAGTTCCCTTCCCAAACAATGCCTGAGTCATAATGTGACAGTATTGAACTTTAATAATACTGGACACTGATGACTGGAAATCCTTTGATGCTATCTCTATTACACTGACAAACTTTTGGAAGACATATTCATCAGATTCATATCACTCTCATTATACTTATAGGCATCTTAATCAAATTTATGGAAACATAAAGAGAAAGCCAAATTTTTAACTGGAGATTGCCCATAAAAATGGAAGAATTCCAAGATTCTTAGTAACTAGGTAATGTTATATGGGTAAAATTAGAAAATAAAAATAGGTTTGTTCTCTAAAATTAAAAGCTTCAGGCATTAGTGAATTGGAAGACAGTCTTTTCTGAAAATAGTCCTAATAATTCTTGGCACATTAAAAATATCAGCCATGTTATGAAAAAACAGGCCTGATATTTACCACTTTGAAAATGTATCTATAAGCAATATGGTAAATTTTATTTTTATTAAAGTTTCCAGTAAATAACTCATGTACAATGGTGGTATTATGTTTAGATATTAGGTGTCCCCCAATAGCTCATGTGTGAGATAATGCAAGAAAATTCGAGGTGAAATGATTGGATTTTGAGAGTTTTAACATAATCAGTGTGTTAATGCCCTGATAGGGATTAACCCGGTGGTAACTGTAGGCAGGTAGGGTATGGCTAGAGGAGGTAGGTCACTGGGGCATGCTTTTGGGGGTATATATTTTGTTCTTGTGAGCCCACCTCTCTCTGCTTCTTGGTAGTGGTGTCCTGAGCTGCTTTTCTCTACCACATCCTTCCGCCATCGTGTTCTGCCTCACCATAGACTCAAAGCAATGGAGCCTGATGTCTGTGGATTGAGACCTCTGAAACCATGAGCCCCTAAATAAACTTTTCTTCCTCTAAAATTGTTTTCATCAGGCCGTTTGGTCACAGTGATGAAAGAGCTGACTAAAACAGCCGGCTTTGTAAATGTACTTGGAACTTGTAAAACCCTGGCCTCTCATTTTCTATGAGACTCAAGAAGTTATTTTTGTTATCCTGAAGGACAATTTCATGAAAATCCCTAGAACAATGATTGACCTAGAGCAACTGCTCTGTGCATATTAATTTCTTCTCCCTGTTTCCTAGAACACAGATATGAATTTGTGCATTCTTGAGATGAGCTTGCCATAATTTGTTTCTTACTTTAGTCATCTAATCTGTGAAAAAAGCACTCCCTAAAGCTCAGCAGCTAATAACAGGTCTATTTCTTTACCTCATTGCATGTCCTTTGTGGAGGGCTGAAGCTTTCTTTCTATTGCTGTAGGTTACCTGTGGTTGCAGCCATGGTTGAGGCTCTTTTCCATGGGTCTTCATTTCGGGATCCAGGCTGAAGGCACATCCCATCTAGGACACACTGTTTTTGAGAAATGAATGAAAAAGCAAGAGCAGGCCTCTTAAATTAGCTCCTCTTTGGAGTAAGTGCACTGTCATTTCTGCTGACACGCACTGCCAAGTCAAGTTCATGGCCAAATCCGCCAATGGACAGGGAGATGTGCTCTGTCTGCAGGAGTCAGAGCAGATGATGAGAATGTATAATTCTGTTTCAGGGATGAAAGCAAATAGTTGCCAACAATATGAGTTACTATTCAATTGACAAACATTTTAAAGTCAATTAGAGCCCTACAGAAATGAAAGATATTGGCTTTTGCTCTGATTTCTATGATAGGTCTGAGTCCTCAGTTTTTCATTGAACTAATATTGCAGATGACTTTTTTGTTCCTCAAGAAGCATATTTTCAAGGAGCTTGGGATGTGGCTCAAGTGGTAGCGTCCTTGCCCGGCATGCATGAGGCACTGGGTTTAATCCTCAGCACCACATAAAAATAAAATAAAGATATTGTGTCCACCTAAAAGCTAAAAAAATAAAAATAAAAAAGGAAGCATATTTTCAAAATTGTAGCAGAATTTGAGGACTATCTGCAGCAACTAATTCTTTTTAGATCAAAGTTTTCTTATGAAACTTGAGGGTGTTTATTTTCTTTGGAAAGATGCTTGATGGAAGGAGGATGTTATGTGCAGGAGACTATCTTTTACCTTCTTAAAAAGACTTGCTTAGACATTCAGCTTAATCATTAGGGAAAGTCTAAACTTTAGGTAGTTTAGTATTACTGGTGGCACCCACATGCCCACTTGGGCTACTATAACAAAATATCATGAAAAGGTGTCTTATAAACAACAGAAATTTATTTCCCACAATTCTGGAGGCTGAGAAGTCCAAGATCAAGTTGCTAGCAGTTTTAGTGTCTGGTGAGGGCCCATTTTCTGGCTCATGGACAGCTGTCTTTTCAATGTCCTCATATGAAGGAAAGGGGCAAATAAGGTCACTAGTCACATTCATGAAAATTTGACCTTCATGACCCAATTAGCTCTCAAAGGCCCTACCTCCTAATGTCATTAGGAGGATTTTAGGGGGACACAAACATTCAGATCATAGCACTGTGTAAAGATGAAAAACCTTGGGAGCAGTGGTATGTTCCCACCAAGTCTTCTAAAAGTTTTAAAATGCAGTTTTAACAGTCAGTAGGGCATTAACCATCTCTCAGGAGCTTTCTTCAAATTTTAGTTTTAAGAGGAAGGCTGTATGTAAAGAAAGGCAGGGTTGGGGGGAAAAGAGGGAACTAGTTAGAGTCTCCTATATTTTTCTTCTACTTCAGAAATGCATTAAAACTTCATATCAATCCCCTGGAGAATGGACCTGTGCAGAGAGAGGAGCCCACGGGAGAAAAGGAGGAGGATCATGTTTCTCATGCTAGAGATTTGCATGATCTCTGCAGATTCTTCACATTAGGATCTATCTGCTGTCTCTGTAGCTATTGAGTAGTGAATATATTCACCTGTAAAGGGACTGAGAGAGGAAAAGAATGCAATTCCATAAGCTATGAAAGTGACTGAAGGGGGCTGTTTTTTTTTTTTTTTGCCAAGGTCCCCCAGCTGTTCATTTTCCTTCCATAGAGATAACCTGTGTTATCTGTTGGTAGCTTACCATTCTAGAAGTATTTTAAGCCTTTAAGAGTAAAAGCATTTAAATATATATTTCTCAGGGCTGGGGCTGTAGCTCAATGGCAGAGCGTTTGCCTAGCACGTGTGAGACACGGGGTTTGATCCTTGGCACCACATAAAAATAAGTAAATAAAAAAGGTACTGGATCAATTTACATATATATATATATATATTCCTTTTTTTACACAAAATGTGTCTGTTGTCTACTTAGCTTTCATCTAAAACATTTTCCAGATCATTCTATATAAATATACAGAGTCCTCTCCTCATGTTCTTGCTCCTGTTTTCTAAAGGCTGCTTGAGTTTACTAATTGCTAATGCATTTCTTCCTCTGGAAACATATGGAGTCTTCTCCATCCTAAGAACTCTGCTTCACAAAGGACAGTTCCTAGGGGAACCCAGGGGAGCCTTGTCAGTTTGCAGCTCATATGGCATTTGTTACTTTGACTCTCGCTTGCTTGTTTTCTCACAGTGATAAATAGCAAACATTCTGAAAAATGTGCCTTGTGCTCATTTGGGGAGGTCACACTGAAGGGAGGGGCAAGGACCAGGGAGACGGATAAACAGCAGCACAAAGGGATAAGAAGTTCCCTGAGAAAGTCCAGGTGAGAGTGTCTCTGAGGCAGAAAGGAAATGAGGCAAGACCCCGACGTGGGGCAAAATGGGCTCTTGGAGGTGAAGCGGGTGGACGGAGGTGGAGAGATGAGGGCACAGGCTGGCAGGGCCAGAGGTCCGTGTGGTTTCCTAAGGCACTCACCTCATTCTTCATCCTTCAGAGAGCTATACTGGTGGGAAGGAAACTGGTTTTTGAATGCAAACAGGAAATGTACTTTGGCTCAGTGTGCTGTTAAGTGGAGAACCACATCAAATTGCAGAGTATGAAATGCCGTCATTTGAATGAATTGCCTATTAAATGCCAGCCATCACCTAATAATACGTTTTCTTTGTGTATGGAGGTGGTGTCGCTGCTCTGCTATTAGTGGGACTGTTTGCTCCCTCTATCTTGCTTTTTCTGGGGGGAGGGGTCAGGTGAAATTGTGAAACATAGTGACCCTGAATGACCTTCGTGACAATTGATCCCTGTCCATGGCTTCATGACCCCTGACCTTGTCTGGTATTCTCCTGACATTAATCAACTTGGGCAATAATTGGGTAGGTTAATAATTATATCATGCTTATTTCCATAATACTGATGAGCATGAGACATTATTACAGAAGAAATGTAGTTTTCCCCCCCTTATTGTTCAAGGTAGAATTTTTATACAGGCGATAAACAATGGTATAAACAGTTAAAATGAGATTTTCAAGGCTGTTTTACATACTGTATTCAGATGTAAGAATTTTACTGTATTCCATCGAATCTGAGTTTTTGTGAGGACTTTCTATTTGGAACAGTTTGCATCTCCTAGTAAATGGGCACAAATGTCCTTGATGTGTTTTTTAGTACTGATTATACCTCCACTGCATTCAGGACCTCATATCTCAAAACTCCTTAAACTTAGCTTCTCATGCTTTTGACATGATAACTCTTTTGAACTTATCTTCTGTTTTAAATCCAGGACACATAAATTTTATAGAACAGTCCTCCAGACCCATTGGGTGCCATTTTGAAAAACTACAGCACATTGTGAAAACTCTGACTTTTTCATTCTAATAGCGAGTATGCACTAGATAGTGGGTGTCAGCAGTATCAGTAAACTTGGAATGACAGCTGGCTCGTGGGCTTTCATGCCTGGTCCTCAGCTCCCTGAAGCTGGACTTGTTGAAGGCTCAGATTATTACTGGTCCTGACCCTTTTCAGTTGGGGCTGGGGATGGAGCAATCACAGCCTCCCCATTTTGTGAAGCTTGGAATTACATTTTGCTTCAGGTCCAGATCTCAGGTGCTGGTTTCTACAGCAAGTTATTTACTATCAGCTCTTATTTTATGTCTAAGTGAATGGAGACCTTCTCAGTCCAGCCCCCTCCTGGTTGGCTCCTGTTACCTTTGTATCATGCTGAACCTCATGCTTAGAAACTGACACGTGGTAGTAGGTAATACAGACTCAGGGGAAGAGTTTAGATTCTGTAGTCTGGATGGCATGATTTCTGTTTCTGGCTCTATGATTTATTAGCAGAATGACCACAGGAAAGTTTTTGGTCTTGCTACGAGCCTTGGCTTCTGTCATTCGTGAGATACAGATGACGGTAGTGCCTCTCTTGTGGTGTTGTGGAAGGCTTATGTGAAGTGATGCCTGTCAATCACCTTAGTGATTCCCAATAAGTGTTAGCTATTGTTATTGTGACTCAGATGTTGACTCTGTGACCAGCCATACAGATGGCTGTAACTCTAAAGCTCCTTACTGGTAGAGACTCTGGTATCTCCACCTGGCATATTAGTTATTGTGTGTTAAGTGAGTAAGGGACAGAGACGGCCTTGTTATACAGCCAACTTTTCAATTAGAGGATTAAAAAAGGGCCAGAGAAGTATGCTCTCTAGAAATATTTTTGATTGTCTTCTGCACATAAGATCTTTTCACTGGTATAGTGAGATTCAGTTTCCATTCCATCTTCCCTTTTTAAAAGCATCTCAACATGATTAATGTACCAACGGCTTCTCCAAAATCGCCTATTGTCTGACTTAGGACCCTTTTAAACCTTGATGGAACTGAGGGAGTAGGAGACATGTAGCTGGTGTTTATTTTTTTCCTTTAAACTCTTTATTTTGAGATATCTCTAGATTCACATATAGTTTATAAGAAATAATGCAGCTATTCTTTACTTATTTTCCCCTCAATGGTAACATCTTGTAAAGCTATGGTATATATACATATCAAAGCATCACATTACTCCTTTAAGTTGTACAATTTTTATGTTTTTTATGTACCAGTGAAGGTAAATTAAAAAAATCTCAAACAAAATTCTGTGCTTGTTGGGCTGGGGTGTCGCTCAGTGGTAGGGTGCTTGCATATAACATGCATGAAGCCCAAGCTTCCATCCCAAGGACTGAAAAAAAAATCTATATTGAAGAAAATCCCCAACTAATCACATAGTACAATATTATGACTAGAATTCAGTCAGCTTTTTCATCACTGTGACCAAAAGACCTGACAAGAACAATGTAGAGGGGGAAGTTTATTTTGACTCAGTTTATTTTTCAGAGATCTCTGTCCATAGGTGGCCAACTTCATGACTCTGGGCTCGAGATGAGGCAGAACATGATGGTGGAAAGAACTCAGGACATAGACAACATGAAACACAGAGAGCTTTGTTCACCAGGGACAAAATATAAACTCCAAAGGCATGCCTTCAATGACCTACCTCCTCTGGCCACTCCCCACCTGCCTAGTTACCACCCAGTTAATCCATATTAGTGGATTAATCCA